CTACATAGCAAGACCCCATCTTTACAAAAATAAAAAATAAAAGCTGTGCATGGTGGTGCGTGCCTGTAGTTAAAGCTACTCTAAAGGCTGAGGTGGGAGGATTGCCCAGGAGTTTGAGGCTGCAGTGAGCCATGATCACACAATTGTACTGAAGCCTGGGCAATAGGGCAAGACCTGATCACAAATAAAAAAGTAAAGTAGAGATGAGAGGCATTTGAGCATTTGGAAATGCTAATAATCCTAGGGGGCTGGGATGCAGACAGGGAGGGAAGGACTGGCTTTAACCTGGAAGAGTGGCTTACCGCAGTAGCAGGAGGGGAAGGGAAGAAGATTGATTAATTCATCCAGTGGCCTATGGAGGCTTCCTTGACCTCTGCCTCTCACATCGTGGTGGAAGCTTTGACAGCTCAGGAGGGGAGTCAACAGCAGACCACTGATCCCAAACTGGATTGTTGCATGCCTTTGAAGTCAGGGAAGGGTTTGTTTTTAGGACCTGTTGGACCAATAATGAAGGTTCTGGGTGTTCTGTGAACCATCAACAGCAAAGACAGGGCTATAGCACTGGCCAGGTTTCTGAGGGAGGCTGTCACCTGGAGCATTTAATGAGCAAACTTTCTCTTGGAATCAACATTGCTGTTCCTTTTTTCCCTCCAGTTTTCTTGCATGTTCTTTGGAGCAGTCTCTTCTGATCAGCAAGAACACTTCAACCACCCTTTTGACAGTCTGGCAAGAGCAAGTGACAGTGAAGAGGACATGAATAATGGCAGTTTCTCTTTATCTTAATGCTTAATGATGGCTGAGCTGGCCCCCAGCCCAGTAACCGGCTCACTTGCCCCTCAAGCATGAGTTTGCATGTTTAGTGTCTTAAAGAGGTTGTTCCAGACTTCCCTGGAATGGAGGATGAGCTTCAAAACTAGATCATCTTGTACAACCACCGCATCTAGAAAAAGCTGCTTGTCAAGTGTATGTAACTTGCTTTAAATCCATTATGCTACTTCGGAGGTAGAAAGGTTTTCTATGAAAGAAAAAAGCCCATTAGAGTTCTTCAATTCAGTGTACGTTCACCCCAGCACTTTTAACATCTTTGTTAGTTTTATAAAGGTATTTAAACTTTATTCAGCAGCCATTTGGAGTGCTTCAAGATGGCTTGAAATGGAATTTTGTGATTTTTCGTCAGGTATCTTTTGTATTTGATTGCAAACATTTGGATTTTAGTTTTCTCATGTAATACCACGGCCTTTTTTGTCCATTGTTTTTTTTTAAGACTTTAAGTAGAATAAACCCTGGAAGAAAGATCAAGAATAAAAATTATATATAGTCACTTTCACTTTTTTTTTTTTTAAGATGGAGTCTTGCTCTGTCAGTCAGGCTTAAGTGCAGTGACACAATCTCGGCTCACTGCAATGTCTGTCTCTTGGGTCCAAGCCATTCTCCTGCCTCAGCCTCCCTAGCTGGGATTACAGGTGTGCACCCTATGCCTGGCTAATTTTTTGTCTTTTTGGTACAGGGTTTCACCATGTTGGCTAGGCTGGTCTTGAACTCCTGACCTCAAGTGATCCACTGCCTCGGCCTCCCAAAGTGCTAGGATTACAGGCTTGACCACCGTGCTCAGCCTGGAGTGTTTTTATAGATTGTAAAATTTTATTTCCTAACTGCAAATTGTTCTGATTTTCAGATGTGATTTTTGATTTTTCAGTGTGATGCGAAAAGAATTTAATGGAAGTGATGCCAAATATTTCTGTATTATCTGACATAGAACAGTATCCTCCACTGCCAAGACAGCTGAGTTTGGAGTAGAATTAGGTGGAAGACAAATGTCTGTTCTTTGGCCCTTTAAGAGTTAGCTTTTTACCTGCACAAATGGACTAAAAAATCTGGCACAAAACATTGTTATGTAATGTCTTATGATGTGTGCCTCTTCCTCCCCCAAACGTGTTTCTAGTCAATTATAACCTGACAAACGAGACTTTTGTAACATCTTGTTAATTCTACAACCTTCAAACCGTAAGGAAGTGTTAACTGGCAAGCAATTGTACTTTCGACTTTGTGAGAAATTCATAAAGGTGGCTGAGTAGATTAGCATGCCTTAGAACTGTGAATAGGGTTCTAACTGAAACCAGAATGAATTTGGCTCTTGTAGCTTAGTAATGAGTCATAGCTACCCACAATAACATAATAAAAACTCAAATTCATTCCAAGATGTTCCTTAGTGAATGAAAATGGGTGTTAACCAAGCTTTTTATGGTAATTGGCAATGCCCACATAATTTCAACTAAGTCCTTCACATTGTAGGCTGAAGATTTATGTATCTCATGCTTACATTGATGAATTAACACTGAACTTCTGATATTTCTAACAAATGCAGATGCCTACACAGACAGCTTTCTTTCTTTATTATTTATTTTTTGAGATGAAGTCTTGCCCTGTTGCCCAGGTTGGAGTGCAGTGGCCTTAACTTGGCTCACTGCAACCTCCACCTCCCAGGTTCAAGCAATTCTCCTACCTCAGCCTCCCAAGTAGCTGGGATTACAGGTGCTCACCACCATGCCCAGCTAATTTTTCCATTTTTAGTAGAGATGGGGTTTCATCACGTTGGCCAGGCTGGTTTCAAACTCCTGAGCTCAGGAGATCTGCCTGCCTTGGCCTCCCAAAGTGCTGGGATTATAGGTGTGAGACACCGTGCCCAGCCTCACAAAGAGTTTTTATACACAACAGTAACTCTGTAGGTCTCTTTGTTGTGGATAAAGTTTCTGATTCATTCATTTCATTGAAATGATTCATTAAAATGAATGAACCAGAGGAGTTTAGGTCTTGAAAGCATCATCATCAGTAATAGCCTGGATGCAGCAATGGACTATTTATTTTTTTAATTTTTTTAAAAGATGAAGTTTTACCTTGTTGGTCAGGCTGGTCTTGAACTTCTGACCTCAGGTGATCCACCCACCTCGGCCTCCCAAAGTGCTGGGATTACAGAGGTGATACTGGCAGGGTGTGGTGGCTCACACCTGTAACCCCAGCACTTTGGGAGTCACAGCCAGGCAGATCATTTAAGCCCAGCAGTTAAGACCAGCCTAGGCAAAATGGTGAGATTCCATCTCTACAAAAAATGCAAAAATTATCCAGGCACTTTGGATTTTAAAATTTGGATACAGAGGGCTAACTAAGCTGAAATACAGTCACGTGCTGCATAACACATTTTGGTCAATGACAGACCACAGACAGTGGTGGTCCCATAAGATAATGGAGCTGCCCTATACAGGTGTACCCTTTTTTTGTCTTTCATACTGTAGTTTTGCTAAACCATTTCTGTGTTTAGATATACAGATACTGTAGTGTTACAGCTGCCTACAGTATTCAGTACAGTAACATGCTATACAGGTTTGTCGCCTAGGAGCAATAGGCTATCCATATAGCCCAGATGTGTAGTAAGCTAGACCATCAAGGCTTGGGTTGGTATACAATGACGAATTGCTAAGGATTCATCTGTCAGAACATCTCTGTTGTTAAACAACACGACTGTACACCACTTTTTTTTTGTAGCTTCCCTCTATACCATGAAAGGTGCAAAGCCTCAGCTGGGAAAAACTTCTATATTTTACATCCAGTTGTCAGTCCATCTTAATGAATTTCTGAGGAAGCTAAACTGATGTAGTGAATAGTGAACCAGTTGGAGGCAGTTGAAGTAGTAGTACATATTCACTGCTGGGAAGACTAGGAGGCTTGGAAATGAGGACTTGATAGAGACCAACAAACTCAATGTCAAGGGCTGGTGTCTCAGTTACTATTACTCAAACCAAAAGAAGTACACAGATTAGTATAAATACTATATTTATTAAATATCTTTACAGTTTATTTAAATGTATTTACAGAACTATTCCTGCATAAGTTATAATTCAGACATCCAAATTCAGGTAATTGCCTCTTGGGTAATAAGACAAATAATGATAGTCTCAACAGAAAAAAGCAGCTCATTAGTATACACAGATTCTAATTTGCTTCATTATTTAGCCATCTTTGCCACAAACTACCTGCTAACAGTTAAAATTTTGACACGGACAGTTTTTAGTTGAGAAGTTCAATTTTGCAAAGAATTTAATTTTTTAAAAATAGAATCCAAATATGTTCTGCTTCATGTTTTGTTTTATAAGCAGATCTTGTTTTTGGTTTTTTTTTTTTTTTTTTTTTTTTGAGATGGAGTTTCGCCCTTGTCCAGGCTGGAGTGCAATGACGCGATCTCGGCTCACCACAACCTCCGCCTCCTGGGTTCAGGCAATTCTCCTGCCTCGGCCTCCTGAGTAGCTGAGATTACAGGCACGTGCCACCATGCCCAGCTAATTTTTTGTATTTTTTTTAGTAGAGACGGGGTTTCACTATGTTGATCAGGATGGTCTCGATCTCTTGACCTCGTGATCCACCCGCCTCGGCCTCCCAAAGTGCTGGGATTACAGGCTTGAGCCACCGCGCCCGGCCAGATCTTGTTTTTTTGATACTGTAAAATTTTTTAAATGCACAAATGTGATAGTTTCCAGAGAAACTGAACGCTGTAGCTTCTACCAAAGACAGCTATTATAAGGTGACAAGGAACCATGAACTTGTCCAAAAGTACAAACGTTTACAGTTCTAGCCAATCTTGTTTACATTCTCCCAAACACTCAAAGCTGACTCAATAAATTCCCACGATTCCTGCCTTATTACTTGGTGTGGTGGGCTAGTGGTACTGAAGGTGGTTTCCGTCTCTGGACTACTGTCCTATCCAGAACACATGCAGCTGATAGGAGAAGACACTCTCCCATCATGCAAAGTTTGAAATCGAGTTTCTAATGTAGACACGGCCCAACCCCCAGACATGCACACCTGGAATGGATTCTTTTGTGATTTAGTACCCATCAACCATGTCAAGCAATTACAGTAACTCAGGACAAATAACTTGTTCCCCCCCATCCCATTTCTTCTTTTAGTTTTTAGAGCCTATGGACTCTACTGCATCTCCATTTGGTAAATTTTTTTTTTTTTTTTTTTTTTTGTGCGCAGGCAGCTTAAGTTCATAGGAAGAAATAAGGTTCTGATATGTTTAGAGTGCACATTTTAAAACAGAACAAAATAAAAATTTCAAGCATGTGATAAAAATATTGATTTTTATAATACAGTATTGCTTTATAAATATAGATGGAAAAGCTATAAACTTTACTGGTCTTTGGTGCATCCAGAGAGGGATAAGTAATTTGCCATTTGTAAATTAGAAATCCAAATTTTATCTTTTGTTATAAAAGTCCATTACATGAGGCAAGTGTGTGTGTGTATGTGCACATGCATGCATGTGCACGCTGCTTGACTTAAAATACCATTACACACACATCAGGTTCAGAATCAGACCCACCACGTGGTACAGCACAGTAACAACCCAGGGAGGCTTGGGTCTGTGACTTAGAAAATTCTTCTATGGGTCCAACACAGCCTCTGACTACTGAGAGGAGAGATACTTGTTAAGCAGTGCTCAAACTGACTCCCCCCGCACCCCCGCAGTCATAAAATTAAGTGCATAACACAGAAAGAACAGGGGAAAACAGAGAAAATATTTTATGTCACTATCTATAGGCCAGATCCAAAGTTAGTTCCACTGTGAAACTCAATTCTTGCCTGATACTTTCAGTATCACTGGAACAGACAGTATCAGTTTCTAACAATCATTTCCCAAAAAGGTAAGCTGAGTAAATGAGTTGCATAAAATACCACCAATCTAGCTTTACAGAGATTGTGTTTGACAGGCTAAATGAGAGCAGAGAAAAACCAGAAACTTGACGAGCACTGCTCTTACCAGGAATTAAATGTGGGCGTTGGAAAATGAATGCAAAATATATGCAGATCATAAGGCTACATACCTCTTACCAAAAATAATTGAAACCCTAAACAAAAGAGCTGAAGTTGTCAGTCCTAATATAAATGTATTCCTTCTAACAAAACCCTTCTGGATGCAGCTTACTTTATTTCTTAAATACACAGAGACTGCAAATAGTTTGTGCAAAATAAATGCTCTGCCACTTGCCACTCATGCTTCTGTGTTTTATCATAGCATGATGATTTCTCCTTCAATAGAGTCTTCCTCCAGACCCCCCACCCCACCCCCACCGCGTCTACTAAAGAATTCTGTTTTGTCAAGTTAGGGTAGTTAAGGCATTCTGACATGTAATTAAAGGTGATTCAAAATAGATTATCTAACATTATGCCAATTTAGGAATAGTAGATAAATTACTGAACGGCTTACAAATGAATAACTCATTCTTATTATAAATGAAATGCCTGTTACAAGCATGATGCATTGAAATATAGTAATGACATGTACATGGTACATGTTAAACAATTTTAAATAAAAGCTTGACAGTTACTCAAATATACAGTACAAATTCACAAAACAAAATCTTTTAAAACAAGTTGAGGTAACCTCAAACATAAACTTTAATGCAATAAACCAGGGAGTCAGCATCTCCTTTAGAGAAAAAGACTTTCTATATTCTCCTCAAGTAGATTCTCATCAGGTTTAATTGCATTCTCATCTATACACCAATGTTACCTGACTTATATATAAAACATGGCTTTAATTTAAGGATTTCTAAGTATATATTTTTTTCTACCACCAAGTTAATGAAGGAAAAAACTGACCCAAAAATATATATCTTTACAGCAGTCAACTTGTACACAAACCTTAAAAATAAGTTTGAGCTTGCAGATAATGGGAAAACTGAATGTGGGGTAGTTTTGTAAGGAAACTATACACTGCAAAATGGCTATTCGGAAACTGTAAACATTAAGCTTGATTCAGAAACCCCTAAATTTCCATGTGGGGTAACTGTAAATGTCAGATCATCACTGGGAGTTGTCCTCATGGACATCTGTGCTGCTGCCGCTGCACACAGTGCTCTCTCCACATGGACTCACTGGATTTGGTGCATGCTCTATAGAAAGCAAAAGGTCTGAGAGTACGAGTATGGGTAGGTAGCATAACCACTAAAGCCAACAAAATTCAAAGTTATAGCTGTCTGTTCTCAACTCTTCAGGCCTTGGGCCTAAAGTTCTCATTCAGGGGCATCCTGTCAGACAACTAGGTAGAATTTCAGCCATAACATTAAATTTGTAGGCTTTGAGGGGTTTTGCAATCTTAAATAGTATTTCCATAAAAAAATTGGTAAAGTGTCTCCCCCACCCCTCCTGGAAATCAGGCCTCAGCCTGTGATGTGGACTAATCAAGAAACTGCCAAACTTTAACCACAGGAACACAATTAAGCATCTTCTTAAAAGCATGAAATATTTGTATCCATAGAACTAAAATGGATTTTTCTCCCGATTTGTAACAAAAAAGCTCTGGGATGAAAACTGTATAACCCAGAGCATGTTTTAGAGCAGAATCATAAGCCCCTAAAAAATAGGAGTTTATAAACAGAAACATAAAGCCACACCAATCATCATAACAAAGACGATGCCTGTGGAGTACACATGTAACATTTCTTTTGATGAATAATGTATGTTTCTAGTAGATGTATCACTACATACAATTTGCGTTAGACTTTTACAATCCCTTTAGCACACTAGGATTCTGAATTCACTTTACCAACATTACTAATTTTCAATACTTCAACTACTTTTGAAAAGTAACAGCCATGGTGGCGCTGAACACCTCCATCTCCATCATGGAAAGAACATTGAGAAATGAAGGCCAGTCTTCAAATCCTGGATCTCTTCAATTGCTGCTGGCAGATATGAGCTAGTGAATGATAGTAGTGGTTCTCAATAAAGATCTCAATGGGTCTCAAAAAGACAGGCAAAAGACTTACATCACTGGCCATTGAGATCAGTGGCAAAGAAATGTGGTCCTGCCAGCAGGATCAGCACACATGGCAGGGAAAATCTGGGACAATGAAAGGGAAGGCAGGACGTGACACTTCGGCTAGTCAGTCTGTATACTCAGCCACTATTGAAAGAAGGACGGTAATGTCATCTGGCTTTCCACCTACAATGAAAATAAAAACCTGTTAGTGTATTTTCGTTTCTTTCTTTCTTTATCTTTTTAAATTAAAAAAAAAAAAGATGGGGTTTCACCAGGATGGCCAGGCTGGTCTTGAACTCCTGACCTCAGGTCATCCACCCACCTCTGCCTCCCAAAGTGCTAAGATTACAGGCGTGAGCCACAACTCCCGGCCTGTTACTGTATTTTCAAAGGAAAAGTCAATTAAAAAATGTGGGTTTAAATAAGTCCTGGGAGACAAATGTTTGCATTCCAGGCAGTTCTGGTTTGTCAATATACCCTAGTAGAACAAAGAAAAAAATATTTGATAAACAGTTAAACAAAATGCCAAGAAATTACATGAAACTGAAGCTTAAAAAAATCTTCCCTGCTCCTTTACAATAGGACCTCTGTCAAATGGCCACTACACCCTCTGTTCATATCAATCACAGCAAATCTGACGAGAAAGTTACATGCTTCTACCCACAGTCCTAATTTAGACAAACATATCCAATGTTTTGAAACTAGGAATAGCCTTGTATTCTAATCTGCCAAACAGCTATGGCATGCACTTTTTTCTATTTTAACATTTCCTGAACGGCTAAGAAATGTTTTACATATCATAAAATTGTATCAACAAGAAACTAATTCTAGTTCTGATACGCTAGCACAAACATGTCATCCCAGCCCTAAGACAGAGCCACTGGCCTGCTCCCAAAGTCACACACATCATGCAGTAGGTAGGACAACTCTTCAATCAAGGGCAGTTTCATATTGCTTCCCTCTTCAAACCTTGCTGTGGCAATTTGGCAGGCAAATACTGTTGAGTCCCACAAAGCCAGAGGAAGGGAGAAGTGAAATGTCAGCCACGTGAAAAGCAGAATGTTAAACTGTTAGGAATGTCCAGGCACTCTGGCCAGAGCTTGGAGGCCTTTTGGGCTCAGGTCCAAGCATTGCAGTGGTGGCAATAAAAGGCTTCAGGTTCCGCCTTCCTCTGCAGCCAATGAGGTTCGGTTCTGAAAGGCATCCTGTGTGGGGAAGACATGACGACATGCACTTGCTCTCACCCTCCTGACCTTGCTGAAAGCCACCAGTGCACAGCCTGGCTGGGAGAGGACACCTCCACAGTCTCACACAGAGCTCACAATGCTCCACTCTACTGACACCATGTCCCTAGCCAGTCCCTATGACCTTCCCAAAGAATGCTTACCTCTCACATTCAATCCATTGTCACATGCAAACTGTGCAAAAGGTGACATATAATTTGGGTCATAGGCCAGCTCATGGGCTTGCTCAGCAATGTTTCTTGCAGTCTGTTGTATACTCTCATAATTTGAATTCTAAGATAAAGCATGAGGAAGTTATTTTACCATAATGCGCAAGACAGTAACATTTATCTAACCACTTTTTCCATCATTTAAGTTTTATTCTAGTTAGAAAAGACATTAAAACATTATGCCCTGGCTAATATGAATAAGACACCAGTGCTGTCTACACAAGATATCAGACAGTAAGTCCTTTGCTATGGTGGCGTTGAGCCCTAAAGTTTGAATTTTCATTTTTGCTTTTTTCCCATTTGAAATTCTAAAGGTAGTCTTGCTAAAATAGGATGAATTGAAAAGGAGCTTCTGATAGCCTTTGAAGGATGACCTCAAAAGTCTGCCTGCTTAGGAACACATGCTGGCCAACCCCAGTTTGCTCTCCAAGTAAGAGTTGCCAACTGCTCTAGTGAAGATACCTTCAGAATTTTATATCATGAGGATATTCCTGTCTAACTGTGTGATCTTGGGTCACACCCTTACCCCTGCTGCTCCAACTTCCTCATCTGCAAAATGAGAATGGGAACATGAGGTCCACTTTGCAAAGCCAGGAAAAAATGGAAAGCCTAGTTTTCACCTCCTTCCTCTCTCTATGGGACAAGCCTAAACTATTTGCTTACAAGTGGCAGCTCAGGTCACACTGAGGCCTCTAGCGGCCTGCTGCCCTTGGCTGGCTCTGGCATGACTATTTCTTATCTTTGTTTGATTGAACACCTGCTGGTGTGTTAGAAAAAAAGAAGAAAAAGACAACCAGGACCCAACACCATTAGAAACCATTAAAATACAAATAAAGACACAAACAAGAAATGTCCTCATCTAGACTTTTCCTACTTTTACCAGCCTATGAAAAACCTGAGTAGGAAGCCTCTTTTTCCAATTACTCCAATTATGAGTATTTCCATTTACAACTGTTTGAAAGACCAGAGCTATTATTATTTTCCTGGAATTCACAAAATAGTTGTTTCCAAAACTATAAAGAGCTAATGCAACTGAATCAATAAACCTCAGCTGTCCAGAGAAGGTCACTCTTCCCAAGAGCTAACCTTTGAGTTAATTACCTTTAATTTTTTTAGCTCCTGAAGGATCATATAATCAGGCATGTTGTCAAAGAGTCCATCTGTCGCCGTCAGGATAATATCTCCTAACTGAACATCAAAAGACGTGCTATCAGCAGCATCCGGACTGTGGCAAGGACAGGGGAGGGACAAAGTTAAGAAGGCCCTTTAGAGATGGGGTCAAAATGTCCTACAGGCACTATTTTCCAATGCAATAAGACTTCTGCAAGAAAAACTGATTTATAATAATGGAGTCAATTTTTTTTTTTTTTTTTTTGAGACAGAGTTTTGCTCTTGTTGCCCAGGTTAGAGTACAATGGCGTGATCTCTGCTCACTGCAACCTCTGCCTCCCAGGTTCAAGCAATTCTCCTGGCTCAGCCTCCCAATGGAGTCAATTTTTTAAAAAAATCATTCTGAAACTTCCAACCCTGAAAACAGTTAACTGAAAACTCTAATATAAATGTTTCAAAATCTTAACTGAAACTACCAAGTAAAACCAAGTCTGATAATTGATCACAAGTGGCTGAGAAGGGGGAAGGGTTCTCTTCTGAGTCAGATCTAACACACCTCTAAAATCCTAGCAGAAATGTGCCTTTATTCCTAATTCTTTACAGCCAAATTCCATGCTATCCTTTTTTTTTCTTTTTTTGAAAACAAGTCTTCACTCCGTCGTCGAGGCTGGAGTGCAGTGGTACAATCTCAGCTCACTGCAACTTCTGCTTCCCAGGTTCAAGCAATTCTCCTGTCTCAGCCTCCCAAGTAGCTGGGACTACAGGCATGTAAGATAGTGCTTTTAGGATTACAGGTATGCACCAACATGCCCAGCTAATTTTTTTTTTTAAACATTTTTTTTTTTTTTTTTTTTTTTTTTTTTTTTGAGACGGAGTTTCGCTCTTGTTACCCAGGCTGGAGTGCAATGGCGCGATCTCGGCTCACCGCAACCTCCGCCTCCTGGGCTCAGGCAATTCTCCTGCCTCAGCCTCCTGAATAGCTGGGATTACAGGCACGCGCCACCATGCCCAGCTAGTTTTTTGTATTTTTAGTAGAGACGGGGTTTCACCATGTTGACCAGGATGGTCTCGATCTCTTGACCTCGTGATCCACCCGCCTCGGCCTCCCAAAGTGCTGGGATTACAGGCTTGAGCCACCGCGCCCGGCTTTAAACATTTTTAGTAGAGAAAGGGTTTTGCCACATTGGCCAGCTGGTCTCAAACTCCTGACCTCAGGTGATCAGTGTGCCCCAGCCTCCCAAAGTGCTGGGATTATAGGTGTGAGCCACTGGACCAGCCCACCCTCTCTTATTCACATTTTTCACTCATCAGTTTCCTTGTATGTTTGAATCTGGCTCTCAGGGTGCCATGCCATAGTGAGGGTGCGATTATGAGTACCCATGGAGAACGACATGCCAATCCTATAAGAATTCATTCACTTGAAATATCAACCGTGTTTTGGCATAGTAAGGACTGTGTGTCTCCTAGAGGTCCCAAAATGCTCATCATTCATGGGTATTTATTAGTGTGCCTGGCATAACAGGTCCTCCAAAAATATCTTGATATCTTAACCGGGCACAGTGGCTCTCACCTGTAATCCCAGCACTTTGGGAAGCAGAGGCAGGCGGATTACTTGAGGTCAGGAGTTCGAGACCAGCCTGGCCATCATGGTGAAACACCATCTCTGCTAAAAATACAAAAATTAGCCAAGCATGGTGGTGTGCGTCTGTAATCCCAGCTACTCAGGAGGCCAATGCAGGAGAATTGCTTGCTTCAACCCCAGATGTGGAGGTTGCAGTGAGCTGAGATGGTGCCACTGCACTCCAGCCTGGATGAAAGAGTGAGACACCATCTCAGAAAGAAAGGAAAAGAAAAAAGGAAGGAAGGAAGGAACAAAGAAAGAAAGAATAAATATCTGTTGTGTAACTAAATGAGTGAAGCAGGAAAACAGATAACTCTCCAAATTGGGGAAAAAAACTTTTCAATACACTGCTGAAGAAAGCAAAGTGCAGACAGTGTGTTAGGTCTGTAGTATGTGCAACCATTTCCATTTTTTAAAAAGGCAGAAAGACACACAGAGGTGAATGCTTCTATATGCAGATAATAAATCTGGAGAGAATCAAAGCAACTGCTCATAGCAGGCCATGTGTGGTGGCTATGGGAGCACTCTGGGAAGCCAAGGCAGGTGAAGCACTTGAGGTCCAGAGTTCAAGACCAGCTTGGCCAACATGGTGAAACCATCTCTAATAAAAAATACAAGAGCTTAGATCGTGGTGATGCACACTTGTAGTACTAGCTACTCAGGAAGCTGAGGCAGGAGAATCATTTGAGCCTGGGAGGCGGAGGCTGCAGTGAGCTAAGATTGCACTATGGCACTGTAGCCTGGATGGCAGAGTGAGACTCTGTCTCCAAAATAAAAAGAAACTGCTTGTAGTGGCTACCTTTGAGGAGAGAGTATGTGGTGAGGGCAGGAAGAGGAGGCAGATGCGTCAATAAACTTTTTTGTGTACAACTCTTAAATTAAAAAAACCAGATGGGAGATCTTTTTTTCTGATAATGCCTGATGAAAACAGACATAAAAATGGGTGGAGAGAAAAAATCATATATTCAGAGATCATGGCCTCCTGAGGCTGATCCTTGGCCACTTCTTAAGGCCAGTTTCACTGCTTCAGGCCTCCACGGGGAGGGAAAGGTGAGATCTAATAATCTGCCTTAACCTGTAATTAAGGAACAAGAGCCAGGAAAACAAATCAGATACTGACCTGGAAGGGAGGCACCAGACTCAAAAGCACCCTGAGCTTGATGGAAAAACCCCAACACTTGTGTAAGTAACATGTGACAAGATTTGTGAAGAAAAAGTGTAAAAACTAACAAAAGCATACATGCCTATGGGATTCACACTAAGTGCAATCAGAAAATTTCTGGTTCATCTTCACTTGACCGCGGAAAAAAGGTGGCACATGTAAAGTTCTGCCATGTGCTGCTGCAGAAAATCGAATTTCACTTACACATTTAGATAATCAACATTCTGTAAAAACGTCTACTAAAGGAAAACCTGTAAGTTGAAGTTAAAATAATATTCTGTAGATAAGAGGGACCAGTAACTAAGGAGACACATGCAGCATGGAAAAAAAAAAAAAAGACTGTAAAACTGAGGGAAATCGGGTCAATTCTTTCTGTGGAATAAAGAGAAAACAATGCAAGATGCTCTCATTTGGTTGGCTTTTGAAAGTTAATCAGATTCTAGAAGTGTAGATTAATGACCAGGCCGGCACTGAAGCTCTGTTTTATGCTGAGGTTTTTCTTTCCCCAGGAGTGTCCTTTGCTATTCCGTCTGTGAGAGTCTTGCTCCCATTGGACAGTTTGTCTCTCCTAACACTCCCACCCATGAGCTTGGTGTTCCGCCAGCTGCAGTTTTGCCCATTTTGATTGAACATACTGTGCTGCTGGAAACTTTCAACTGCACTGAAACATGAGCTGAAATCACATGCTAGCGAGCTGTCTCTGGACTCCAGGGGAGGCCACCTCCACCTTGCTGGCATGCCAGCAGAGTGCTGTCCCAACCTGTCTGTCCCAAAGACAGCGTGTGAGATACAGCAGGACTGCTCTGGCCCTTGGAAGCCCAACAAGAAGAATCAAATGAAGAAAAAATTATATCACCTGTCTCCAAAAACTGTGATCTGAGCTTGGTCTCTACAGAGGCCTTGGCGTTCAACGTTCTCCCCATGCCAGTGTGGCTAATACTATTTGATCACAGCCAACTTAAGAAGGGTCTAGAATCAAATACTCTTCCAATTATGGTCACCCACCTACTTTTACTTTTTACTTTCAAATTTAGGTTGGTGCCCATAATTGGAAGAATATTTACTGGTTAACAGTTACTTTTACCGCTGAAGTTACTTTTTAGATGGGGAATACTGAATATTTAATTATATAACATGCTCGTTCCAGTTTAAAAGATGGTAATAATAATCCATTTTATCTTAGTTTGGACCTAAGAGCTGGTTTAATGAGAGTTATTAAGTAGAGACAAGTACTTGCTAGAATGCTTCTATTTTTACAAAAGGTTCATTGTCCATTAATCAACATTTATGAACTGCCAATGATGTTTGTGCCAGGTCCTATAAAACTGTTAAAGACACTGACATCTGAAACTGTCTTTGCCTTACTCTGACACTCATCTAAGAAAAGATAAACTGTAAAAGTCAACTCAAAAAAGCACTATTTTGGCTGGGTGCGGTGGCTCACACCTGTAATCCCAGCACTCTGGGAGGCCGACGCAGGTGGATCACAAGGTCAGGAGTTCAAGACAAGCCTGGCCCACATGGCAAAACCCCATCTCTACAAAAAATATAAAAATTAGCCAGGCATGGTGGTGGGCATCTATAATCTCAGCTACTCAGGAGGCTGAGGCAGGAGAATCACTTGAACCCAGGAGGCGGAGGCTGCAGTGAGCCAATATCGTGCCACTGTACTCCAGCCTGGGCAACAAGAGCAAGACTCCATCTCAAAAAATAAAATAAAATAAAATAAGGACCGTCTTGGAAGATTCTTGACAATTTAAAAATGAACTAAGTAAAGATGTGAGGAAGAAATAGAGAACACCTCAATAACATTATCAAAGAACATATCCAAGACCACTTTTTTTTTTTTTTTTTTTTTTTTTTAAGAGACAGGGTCTCGCTATGTTGCCCAGGTTGGACTCAATCAATTCTCAAGCCTCAGCCTCTTGAGTAGCTGGGACTACAGGCCTGCATCACTGTGCCCAGCTCAAAACCATTTTGTTTTTTTTGTTTTTGTTTTTTTTGAGACAGAGTCTCACTCTGTCACCCAGGCTGGAATGCAGTGGCGTGATCTTGGCTCACTGCAACCTCCACCTCCAAGGTTCAGGCAATTCTCCTGCCTCAGCCTCCCGAGTAGCTGGGACTACAGGCCCTTGCAACCACGTCCAGCTAATTTTTGCATTTTTAGTAGAGATGGGGTTTCACCATGTTGGCCAGGATGGTCTTGAACTCCTGGCCTCAAGTGATCCACCCACCTCAGCCTCCCAAAGTGCTGGAATTATAAGGATGAGCCACTGCACCCAGCCACTCAAGACCATTTTGATTCTGTTCCCTAAAAGTTCTATTTGATGCATGTATAAGAGGTCTAGAGAATCAGGAAGGTATTCTGATAAATAATGCAGATGTCTGTTTGTGCTCTTCCCTAACAATGTATGCAAAATCTTGTACAAGCAATGGCATGCATGAACAATGACTCATTTCTCCAGTACAATAAATGCACTGTATGTATCATGTGGATGTTGATATGAAAAACTGATATTTTGTAAGCCTGAAATAGTATTTTGACAGTCTTGTCAAATTACTGGGTGTTTATCATAATTCCACTTGGCTAAATTATCTGGTTCCAATAATTCCACTTGGCTAAATTATCTGATTCCAGAAAAATATCTTTCAAAGTCAAACCAAAAGGTCCTCTTGATGAGAACATTCTCTGTGTCTTCTTTTCATGTACATGTCTACCCCACTGCATTCAAAGGGGACAGGAGGGGACTATGAATGAGCCACGTCCTGCTCACGTTTAATGGCTGAGATGGGAGATTACCTGTCGCTCAAGGACGACTCCCTCAGCTTCGGGGGGAGCGATTGAGAGCTGGAATGGAGTGTTGAAGTAATGTTGCTGCTCATCTGATCGGTGCACAACTTCACCACCCCTGACAACCAGGAAGCCTGAATCGCCCAGGTTCGCCGTGTGTAAGCGGTGGCTGGTTCTGTCCAGCACCACAATGCAGGCAGTGCTGCTACCTAGAAACAAAAATCATCTCCATTTATTTTTTCTTCCTGGGCTGACTTTGCACACACATTTTAACCACATAACCTTAAAGAGCAACACACCATAATTTGAATCTCCGGCCTAAACAGGACCTTTCTTTCTTATGCTCCACATCCTCTATGAATGTCAATAATATCCTGATCAGGGTTAACATGGTCGGGAAAGAAAAAGGATTTGTATTATACACAGTAATTGGGTCACCGATGATCTGAATTCTTGCATTTGCAGAGACAGAAAGCAATAATAACTGGTATTTAATCACACGATTTCATTTCAACAGCACTGTCATCTATGCCAAATGCTCAAAAGCATGTTGTTGAGACATTAAATTTTAATACTTAAATGCCAGAATGAAAATGCTACATTTTCCCAACATTTCTTATTAGTCACTGGCAGGAAGCCTTCTCCACAAAATTCACCAATATTTAAGATAGGGCACATAAACCATAATTTTAAACCAGATTTCCATCTGCTGAGGTCATGAAGAACTTTTATTGGAGACTAATGACCCACTCACTATGAGGTAACAAGACCAAATTTCTGCAGGCAGCTTGTGGAATCAACCTGTTCATTTGACAGAGACTGAGCAAAGAGCTCTGCATTGCTTTGCTGTGCATGGGCCACAGAATCGTCCCTAGACTGAAAGGCTGACAGCACAACTAGCAGAGACTACTCTCGAGTCCTAACAGTTAAACCTATACCTACCTCCATCAGAAAAATGGCAACAAAGAAAAATAGGCAGTTTACCAAGAAATAAGTGTGAAAAAATGACCACCTCACTAGTAACCCTTTTCACCTATTAGTTTAACAAGAGTCAAAAGAAGATAATGCATGGTGTTGGCAAAGTGTAGGGAACATACCCACTGCACAGAAAGTTCATTCTGCAGCAGTGAAAAGTAAAAGTCAACAACTTTTCTGGAGGACAAGATAGCCCTGAAAAGTGTATGTCCTTTGATCTAGCAATTCCATCTGTGAGAATTTATGCTAAGAAAATAATTAGAGGGGCAAACAAGACTTAAATACAAAAATATTGCTTAAGATGAAGAACTAGACCCAAAACCTAAAATGCAATTAAAAAAAAAAAGATGAAGAACTAGAAACAATCTAAACATCTAAAATAAGGGACTGGCCAAATAAATTACATTACATCCATCCGGTACAAAGATATACCATCATGTATGACTTGGGAGTACAGGCTCTGGAGTCAGCCTGCCCATGTCTGAATCCTAGCTCTGCCACTTCCCTCCTCTGTGACTTGGGGTGAATTACTTAACCTCTCTGTGCCCCAGTTTCCTCATCTACAAAAACAGGGATAACAGTAAGTACCTCATAGAATTGTTTCTAATGATTAAAATTAGTTAAGTCCTGTCAAACCCATAACAGATAGTGTTAGCTATTTGATAGCCATTAAAATTATGTAAAAGAAATATATTTGAAAGGAAAGGTGATAGCTAAGTAAAATAAGTAGATTACAAACTTGTATAAAAGTTTCCTTAACAACAAAAAAAAGATGATGTCAAAACTTAAAGAACTGTACACTAAAAAAAGTTTACTACATTAAGTAAATGTTCTTTTTTTTTTTTTTTTTTTTTGAGACGGAGTTTCGCTCTTGTTACCCAGGCTGGAGTGCAATGGCGCAATCTCGGCTCACCGCAACCTCCGCCTCCTGGGTTCAGGCAATTCTCCTGCCTCAGCCTCCTGAGTAGCTGGGACTACAGGCACACGCCACCATGCCCAGCTAATTTTTTGTATTTTTGGTAGAGACGGGGTTTCACCATGTTGACCAGGATGGTCTCGATCTCTTGACCTCGTGATCCATCCGCCTTGGCCTCCCAAAGTGCTGGGATTACAGGCTTGAGCCACCGCGCCCGGCCCCAGTAAATGTTCTTAAAAAAGCAACAATAGGCAAAGTCTAAATTGTTAAAATGATGATTAAAAGTAAAACATGGCCAGGCGTGGTGGCTCATGCCTGTAATCCCAGCACTATGGGAGGCCAAGGTGGGTGGATCATGAAGTCAAGAGATCAAGACGATCATGGCCAACATGGTGAACCCCCATCTCTACTAAAAATAGAAAAGTTAGCTGGGTGTGGTGGCACGTGCCTGTAGTCCCAACTACTTGAGAGGGTGGGACAGAAGAATCACTTGAACCTGGAGGTAAAAGTTGCAGTGAGCTGAGATTGTGCCACTGCACTCCAGCCTGGTGACAGACCGAGACTCGTCTCAAAAAAAAAAAAAAAAGCAAAATAAAACAATTGCACCATGGAACTAGCTGTGCTAAATCCCAATGGGCCATCATTTTTCAGTTATATGACCACAGCAAGTCACTTACGCTCTCCAGACTTGTTTTTTCCTAACAAAATGGGGAATAGGGCTGGGTGCAGTGGCTCACACCTGTAATCCCAGCACTTTGGGAGGCCAAGGTGGGTGGATTACCTAAGGTCAGGAGTTCAAGACCAGCATGGCCAATGTGGTGAAACCCTGTCTCTACTTAAAAAAAAAAAAAAAAAAAAAAAAAAAATTAGCCGTGCATGGTGGCGAGTGCCTGTAATCCCAGCTCCTCAGGAGGCTGAGGCAAGAGAATTGCTTAAACCCAGGAGGCAGAGGTTGCAGTAAGCCGAGATGGCACCATGGCACTCCAGCCTGTACGACAAGAGGGAAACTCCGTCTCAAAAAAAAAGGGGGGGGAGGGGGAGGAATAAGTAGGGCTTGGTGGCTCACGCCTGTAATCCCAGCACTTTGGAAGGCTGAGGTGGGTGGATCACTAGAAGCCAGGAGTTTGAGACTAAGCCTGGCCAACATGGTGAAATCCCCCTCTCTACTAAAAATACAAAAAATTAGCCAGGCGTGGTGGTACAAGCCTGTGATCCCAGCTACTTGGGAGGCTGAGGCACAAGAATCATTTGAACCCGGGAGGAGGAGGTTTCAATGAGCTGAGATTGTGCCACTGCACTGCAGCCTAGACAACAGTGTGAGACCCTGTCTCAAAAAAAGAAAAAAAAGAAAAAGTTGTAGAGGAGTAAAATTTAAGTACCTATGTATTTACCTCATGGGGCTGCTGTGAGCACACAGTAGGCTCAATTCAAGCTACCATTATTCTATGCACAAACATACACAGAAAAAAATCTGAAAGCATAATCACTCAAACATTAATAGTTTTTTTAGTGGGATTATGGCTAATTAATGTTTGCCTCAACAAAGTAATTTAAAAACACTTAAATATGCATGTCTTTCTCATGCTAATATTCGGAAATTCCATTTCCTTGTTATCTACAGTATATGCATTAGTACTAACCTCATGCTATACTAGCCACTAAGTGTCAATGAAAAGCAAAGTAACTGTAACTCACTGGTAGTGCTGTCAGATAACCCACTCCACAGCTTACAGTACCTTTTCCTTCCTTAACTCTAACCGTTTATCATGAATAAATCACCAACCCAAAACATCTTCTGAAAACTCATGGGATTATATTCTGAGAAAGAAAAACAACCGGAGTAGCACAGGCTTGAAAATTCTGCTACAAGGACTCATGTGACTCATTATTACTCACTGATGAAGCCAGGCTATCCTTTGCTACTCTGCAGCAGTAACTCGCTGAGTTGGAATTAAAATGGTCCTGATGAGTGGCTGAGCTTCACTATCCAAAGCAACACCGAATATGAGCCCAGCCTTACAGAAACATATGGGCTTGGAATATACCCTCCTTCTTTGCCTCCTCAAATTCCTGATGTGTGCATGTGGCTCAGGCCCCGGCAGCCTAATATTGGGAGAAGAGCTCATCATTCTCATGTGTTTGGAGAGGAACAAGCAGGCAAAGATGAGTAAGAAAAGCGGTGCTGAGAATCAGTGTTGGATGTTCAGACAAATGACCCATACAGACAGGAACCCAGGAGAGTCCCTCACACTCAAATGGAAAGTTTTTTTTATCACCCTGCCCCTTATTTTGTAAACTACTACTAAGCCTTTTGTGTGGCAGAAAAGGGATAACCTTATTAGGACAAACCCAAGTTAAGATATGCTGGCTGCATAGGATCTTATCAATCCATTTAAGGTTTCTGAGGAAATAATACATGTCAACAACTAGCGTGTAATGCCCTTAGACCCAAATGCAGCTAGAAAATCAAAGAAATAAGTGGTTACAGCTACTAGCTTCCTTTTATTTTGGAATTGCTTTGTAGGCTTTTCAGCAGTTGCTGAATTAAAAAAAAAAATTACCTAACTAATCTTGTAAAGTTGTCACAATTTACAATCATATCTAGCTGAAGTTCAGTAAAACTCAGCAGCCTGTCTTTGCCAAAATATGCTTGAGTTTTATTACAAACAGCCTAGGGATGTGTACGTTTTGTGAAAAAAAGGTGTGTGTCAAACATGGTGAAGGATTACTTCAGGGTGCCTTTTAGTAGAAAATAGGCAATAGAAAATAGAAAATCACAATATTTAATGTAAGAAAATATTATTTTCTCTAATATTACATTTAAATGCACTTTATTAATATCTCCCAGTTACACGAAGGTGAACAGACAGAAAGGGAAAGTAGGAATAGGAAAAAAAAAAAACACAGCAAAAACCAAAGCTTTTAAAGTGTAAAATCAGGATAGTTAATGTTTTCTAACCGGTTATCTGAAGTCAAAGTAAATGATGGGGGGTCAGGGGGTCAGCACAGCCACTCTTGAGAACATGCAGGAGGTGGGTCCCTGGAATGTGCATCTAGGGGCTCTCTCTCCATTTAAGTGTGAAGTAAGATCACAGGTTAAGTGGTTTGCCCAAAGACACAGAGCAAGTTGACAGAGAGGTGCTAGAAATAGAATCTAGACTATTTCACTCTGCCAGGCAAGCTTCATACTGCATGTCCATACAGGGGATTAAGACAAAGCAGTATATACTGAAACTGTAAAACAGGATCCCTCCACAGTTAGAAGGAAAACAAGTTAGTTAATCACAGCACAAAGAGAGAAGACTGCAGAGTAATAAAAAGAACTCTTACAAAGGACTTAAACTGAAGGCAATTCTACAACCGTGGTGATTTCCGTTAACACTGAACAGGGGCTGCTTTTAAATATGGATGGTGACTGGGAGGAAGGCCTTCTACTAACCAGAAAGATGCTGGCAATTAGCAGAAACTTAATAATACCCATTCTGAGAGTCTGCTTAGAAGGCTGGGTAAAGGTTCCTAGGAAACCATTTAACAAACAAATGGAGAGGCTTGGCCAAAGGATGCTCCATTAGCCTATCAGATAAACAAACCCTAGGTATTAGGTTTTAAGTTTTCGAATACAGAATTATTGGGGATCTAATTTGTGCCAAGTTATTTCACCAAGCTAATTACCTGTTAGCAGTGTGGGGTGACCAAACACAACTTGAACTCATGAGAGGTAATCAACTGAATTTTGCAGGCTAGATCCTTCCTTCCTTTTCTCTTGCTCTTCTTTCTTCTTTTACCATATTTTAAATCCCTCATACAGTTTTAACTTTTTATGTTTCTAAACTTGAAATATATGGAATCACACTGTTAGGTGGAATTCTGCAATTTTCTCTCTTCCATTCACAACATGTTTCTAAGTACGGCATGCAGCTTTAAATCATTTCTTTTCACAATGCATTTTTCTACAACAGACAGACTTTTTAGGTTGTCCCCAGTTTTCTGCTGTTATTGGCAACATTTTGAGAACACTCTCATACCTGTCGCTTGGGTCACATACTGTGCAAGAGTTTCTCTAGTCTAGGGTAAACACCTAGAAGAGCAATTGCTGGGGCATACTATGTGTTCCTATTTAATACCAAATTGTTTTCCAAAGTGGCTGTACCTATACACATTCCCTCCAAGCAGTACTAAGTATTCTGGTTAGCCTATAGTTTCTCTATGACACTCTGCTTAGTAGGAAGAGCCTCAGAAAAAAGCTGGGCTGATAAATGATTTTCGTGGTTTTGTTTTTAACTATCTAGGGGGCTTCTTTAGAGGAAAACCCATAGGATATTCACTTACCGAGCAAAGGTACTTTATTTTGCAGCAACTCACAGTAGCTTGTGGTGAGAATTCCAATGGGATTACTAGGTACGAATCGTCCTTCTTTTACTAAACGTTCACATGTCCGCATTAAAGTCCCTGAGAACTGAGATGGATCAACTCCATAGTCTCTCCAGCCTCCTACACCATCTGCAACCCCTGAAGAAAAAAAAATTACATTCAAAGAAGAATCTTACCAAATTCTCAGGAATTCTTACCTGTTTTCTCTTAACAGCTAATTTCACTACATGCCACTAAATCTATTTACACCAAAATTCAGAATAAAAAGCACTTGCGTTTATTGTATTCTACACTATCACTCCTAAGCCACATTGTCTACTTAGAATTTGGTCTTTCATATATTAATGTATAAACTTTTGAGCTACCTCAGGGTGGCATTGCCTACGAGCCAAGAGTTCAGTTTCAGCAGGATTAGCATCAGTGTATAGATATATGTGTCGTTAATACTTTGCTGTCTTTTATAAGAGTGAAAACTAATTTTAAAGAAAGTGCTGATGCTAGTGATGATACAATTGAGTCAGAGCTGGAGATCACAAAGAACATCAAAAGCGGCAACCTTTTTAACTCCAAACACTTAAAAAACAAAATTGAGAACATATCCCCATCCCCTCTCCTTCTACCCTGTACAGGGCAGCACTGTCCAATACAACAACAGCTACTCCACATGAGGCTACTGAGCACCTAAAATGGGGCTAGCCCAACTTGAGTCATGCTCTAAGTATAAAACACACACTGGGATTAAAAAAAGTAGAATCTCTAAGTTTTGTATTCATTACTTACATAATGAAATCATATTGGTGAGGGGCATGGTGGTTCATGCCAATAATCCCAGCACTCTGGGAGGCCTAGGTGGGAGGATCACTTGAGCTCAGGAATTCAAGACCTGCTTGGACAACAGTGAGACCCTGACTCTACCCAAAAAAAAAAAAAAAAAAAAAAAAAAATTAGCTGGGCATAGTGGTGGGCACCTGTAGTCCCAGCTACTTGGGACGCTGAGGTGGAAGGACTGCTTGAGCCCAGATGGTTGAGGCTACAGTGAGCCATGATTGCACTACTGCACTCCAGCATGGGTGACAGAGTAAAACCCAGTATCAAAAAAAAAAAAAAAAAAAAAAAAAAGGAAAAGATAAAGAAAGAATATTTTGGATATAATACACCAAAGAGAATGCATTATCAAGACTGATTTTCCTTTTATTTATTTACTTTTTTTTTTAGACAGAGTCTTGCCCTGTCGCCTAGGCTGGAGAGCAGTGGCATGATCTCAGCTCACTGCAACCTCCACCTCTTGAGTTCAACCGATTCTCCTGCTTCAGCCTCCTAAGTAGCTAGGACTACAGGATGCTTAACCGCAGGCCTGACTAATTTTTGTATTTTTAGTAGAGACAGGGTTTTGCCATATTGGCCAGGCTGGTCTCAAACCCCTGACTTCAAGTGATCTGCCTACCTTGGCCTCCCAAAGTGCTGGGATTACAGGTATGAACCACTGCATCTGGCCAAATTTCACCTGTATTTAAAAAAATAAATTATTATTATTTTTAGGCCTTTTGCCCAGGCTGGAGCATAGTGGTACGATCACAGCTTATTGCAGTCTTGAACTCTCAGGGTCAAGTAATCCCCCTACCTCAGCTTCCTGAGTAGCAAGGACTATAGGGTCATGCCACCACACCCAGCTAGTTTTTGTCTGTCTGGCAATACAGAGACAGGATCTCACTGTATTGCCCAGGCTGGTTTTGAACCCCTGGGCTCAAGTGATACTCCTGCCTCAGCCTCCCAAATTGCTGGGATTAGAGGCATGAGCCACCATGCCTGGCCTCTTTTTATTTTTAGTTAACACTAGGAAATTTAAAATTACGTATGTGACTTACATTGTATTTCTATTGGATAGTACTAGTATAGAGATTTTCATAGGCCCAAAGGGTTGCTGATGAGTTCAGTCTGCCTAAGGCTCCTTTATCAGAAGGAAACTAGTATTCAAGAAAGTCAATTAAAATATCAAAGCCATCATACAATCTTTTACTCAAACTCTTGCAAAACACCAAGCTACTGTTTCCAACACTAAAACCAACTTCTATGTACTAAATTCAAAGACACTGAGAGAAAATGTCAAAAATGTACATTATTAAGGCTTTAAACAGCCTTTCTGGAAGGATCTGTAAGAAATATTAACCATAGATGCTTCAGAAATAAGTAACTAAAAACGATCCACAAACAAAATGGGAATTTTTGACTTTTACTTCATAGCATTCTGTATTGTTTTAATTTTATTTATTTATTTATTTATTTATTTATTTTGATATGGAGTCTCGCTCTGTCACCCAGGCTGGAGTGCAGTGGTGCAATCTCGGCTCACTGCAACCTCCACCTCCCAGATTCAAGCAATTCTGTGCCTCAGCCTTGCAAGTAGCTGAGATTACAGGCACCTGCCACCATGCCCAGCTAATTTTTATGTTTTTGGTAGAGATGGGGTTTCAACATTCTGGCCAGGCTGGTCTTGAACTCCTGACCTTATGATCCACTTGCCTCAGCCTCTCAAAGTGCTGGGATTACGGGCATGAGCCACTGCACCGGCCTTAATTTTATTTTTATCATGAGGATGTTATCATATGATTTTTAAAAACAGGAATTTTATAACTTTTTAAACTTTCTGAGCATGCAACATCCTTCCCATATACACATTTTTTTGTACATTCAACTTTCTTTTAAGAATGTGTTTGGTACAGGCCAGGCATGGTGGCTCACGCCAGTAATCCCAGCAATTTGGGAGGCTAAGGTGAGAAGTTCAAGACCAGCCTGGCTAACACAGTGAAACCCCGTCGCCACTAAAAATAAAAAAAATTAGGTGGGTAAGGTGGTGTACACCTGTAGTCCCAGCTACTCTGGAGGCTAAGGCAGGAGAATCACTCGAACCCAGAAGGAGGAGGTTGCCGTGAGCTGAGATCACACCATTGCACTTCAGTCTGGGCAACAAGAGTGAAACTCCGCCTCAAAACAAAACATAACTACTGTGAAGCCCATTAGTTTGCTGCTGTCATTTTTGAGGGGAGCCCATGGCGGTAGAAGCAGTTGAACCTGGGAACAAACCTCACTTGAGCTGTGCCTAGACAATGTGAATTCCTGTGTTGCTAAAAGAAGTGGTCTGCAAGCTCCTGTGCTCTGGAGGGAAGCATTTCCTGGTAGGCTTTGATTTTTCTGTGTGTTAAAAAAATTCAGTCTTCTGATGATGTATACAAAACATTTCTAGAACATGTATTTGTGTTCACCTTAAATGTGAAAATAAATCTATGAAAAAAACATAACAAAAACAATGTACTTGGTACAAAAGTAGAAGAGTATATATATATATACTCTCTGAATATGTATATATACGTATGTATATAAATATGTATATATAATATGCCTATATATACATCCCTGAAAAACTGACTTAACATCAATTGGACACATGAAACTCTATTTCTCTGGGGATGGCAGTTATCAAACAGAAAGGGAACACATACTGAAAAAGTAAGAAGAAACAGAATTGGAAGACATAAAGAAGGTGACAAATAGTTTATCGCCACTGGGGCAGCAACTTTCCCCACCTATGTGACCAACCAATAAGCCAAATTTCACTACAGGGCAATTCCAAATTAGTTAATTAAAGTGATAAAAAGTCTGGGATTGGTTTCAAAATAATTAAGGGGTGAAAGGGGGAGTGATAGAGGCACAGATAAAACAAGACTGGCCATGAATGGATGGTTGTTGAAGCTGAACAGGAAGTACACCCATCTCTCTACTTTGATATATATTTGAAATTTTCCATAATACAACATTTAAATAATAACAACGATAATAACAAGTTTAAAAAGAAAAAAGGCCATTTTGCCTGCTGTGTGGAGAGCAAGAGCGGGAGTTTGAGTGAGCCGTGCTGGCAGTGTGGTTAGAGGCGTGCAAACATTTTGGATCCATGAAACAGGACACGTGGATTGAGGGGTGAGGGTGAGGGAAAGAAAAGCAGCAGGGCTAACTAGGAATCTATCTTAAAAGGAATAGCATATTTCACTTCAGTTTTTCAAGGAGTTGTGAGGAAATCTGGGAAACATATTAGGAGAATTTACTATCATTTAAATAGGAACTTATTTGGAGAAATTCTTAGTTTACTAGGAGTAAGGTTTCATCACAATTTAAAACACAACAATTTATGTTAAAACACAGCATACAATGATAAAACTTGCAACACTATCTGACAAATCATTCTTTTCAAACCACTGCCTGCTCCGGGGAAGAATTTCTTCTTAACTAGTCTCTGGTTCAACAACTACAATTAACGTTAAATACAAATTGGTTTCATCTGCAAATGCCCTTCACAAGAAAACCATTAAAATCTAAGATAACGTTTAGAGTCGATCCTGGCACTCACTAAATAATCTGTCAGCAGGTTGAGTCTGACCTGACACAGCCCTTCAACATTAATCAGATTTCTCCCAGAATAGAGCAAAACCTTTCAGGCACCTGTTTGCTTTTCAACACGGGCACAGGACGCCAGGCAAAACACCACTGATCGAATCTTTTTAGGGGAGACAGAAACTCAAAAAGCATATAAACTTTAAGATAAAGCTGTAGGGAAAAAAGCCTTAATACATTACATACATATAACTTACTTACAAAGAACAAGTTATGTAAAGGGAAGAGTTGTATTTGGGATAAGATCCAGGCTAAAACTAGAGTAAGTCACTACACATATATATGAAGCCTAATTTTATTGATATTAGGTGGTTGTTTCTACACAGAAATTAGTAAGTCCTCTATTGCATAAACAATAGCTTCAGACTACAAAAAGCAAAATACTTTTTAAACAGTAGAACTGATCCAGATATAAAGGGAAATTTCATTCAGAATACATTTCAATGGTAAAGAAAACAACTGTTTAAAGGAGAAATTGTTTAAGATCCCAAAGATGTCAAGAACACAGCTATCAAACAGCAAAGGGTAAGCCTAAGAATACCCTAGGAGCAAATGGAGGTCACACATGGACCACCACATTATACACACTACGATAGGAAACAAGAGGGCTGAGAGAAAGAAAGCCAGTCTCTCAGAAGCTCCCCTGCTAGTGGGGAGCTAGATTTCTCAGAGAAACCAGACAAATGGCTCCCATA